AAATGAGGTACTAACGCGATAAATTGTGTGATCCTGTTGGTAAGAGCTCCATTAATGGTGCTACTTGATGGTAGAAAAGATGCTATTTTGGATATCAGATCAGGTGATATGGAATTCATCTCCTGCAACATGGTATATAGTTGTTGAAAATGCACGCTCCAGTCACTTCAAACCTTAGCATTCACAGGAGATATCGGTTGTCTTCCACCATTTGTTGGAGCGCTTTTTAGGCTCCCTAGCATACGATGGATCTGGGTCAAGCGCTGCGCTGCTTGTTCTCCTGTCATGCGATCAAATCCGAACTTCTAGATTTAGTGAGTCAATCAGCTTATCGACATAAGTTGGTTAGACAATACCTTAGCGAGAAACTTTAATTGCCCTTCTAAAATTGGCTGCCCAGCCACTCGACTAATGAGATCCTAAACGAGAAGGCAGCACTTTTATAGCTAGTATGCTTTGAAACCTACAGTACCTGAACTGACGGTGTTCGTTTTGTTTGTGCTACCACAGGTGTAGGCAGCGTGGATGGGGGCTCCATATTTGGAAGGGTTACATTAGTTTTTCTTATCGGCATAAAAACTGGAGGTTCAATGTCTCGTGATGTACCAGATCGGTGATTGGATAAGACCTTTAAAAAGAAAAAATGGACTCACCAATTTTTAGAACATATCTTTCTGTACCTGCGTTGGTGATATAGGTAATACTGCAAACGGTACCAGCTCCTTTTGCGCTGGTGCCGAAATAGAAAAGGAACTGTGAATAGGTGGAGCAACGCGGGGTGCGATTGGTCGAATTTTTGGTGCAGGTCTGTTAGTTGTGGACATCACATGAAGTATGGGTTTCGCAGTAGTCTGCAATAATGCGTAAATATGCGCTTTCATAAAAATTCCAGTTTTTGCGGTGCATACTTCTGCATCTTCGGGGTCAAGCTTTTGGACAGCTGTCAACCTGATGAGGTTATCACTCTTCGGCCGGATTACTTGCAGATTTCCACCTAACAATAGTTCATATTAATCAATATCTATATCAATTGATTTAAGTGACCAACCACAAGCCAAATCTCTGCCGCTCTCGTCAACAATGTTCGTATTAGTGATCGCAACGAATTGTCCAGGCATTGTAGATGTTTTGATGACTAATTTTGACGGCAGTGGAGAGAACCTTAATAACTTTGTTTTTTCTAAGGAATGTATGGGAT